GAGATTAGAAAAGCAATCAAAATTTGCAATTTTCGGGATAAGCTACTGCAGTCAGACCACAAGACATCGAATTAAATTTGCCAGGGGTCCAACGGCAACGTGTTGACTCAGGACCCCTGACGTTGTGAGGATGAAAAACATTCTGATTGAACACACAAGTACTCTGAAGTTGATATTAAAAACTATGCTCGAGTTTCTGATTGACAGTATCTATTTACTTTTTTGGTGATCAGGTCTTTCAACAATCTGTTGGAATTTCCATGGGTACCAATTGCACCCCTTATTAGCAGACATATTTTTGTATTCATTTGAAGCAGAATTTATTCAAAAACTTCTACATGAGAAGAAGAAAACACTTGCTGTGGCCTTCAACTCGACATTTAGATGTATCGATGACGTATTATCAATTAACAATAGTTACTTCCATTCATATGTCCATTCGATATATACCATATATCATTAATCCATTCATATGTCGATTCGATATATCCCAGAGAACTTGAAATAAAAGATACCACAGAGTCTAACACATCTGTTTCATATTTGGATATTTTACTGTAGAAAGACTTATGGTAACCTAACAACAAACCTTTATGATAAACGTGATGACTCCAATTTTTTATTCGTCAACTTCCCTTACTTATGTACATGTAGCAATATACCTTTATCACCTGCATATGGGATTTTTGTCTCCCAGTTAATTCGATACGGAAGAGATGCTCTACGTATAAACAATTTCTAAAACGAGACAAGCTATTGACAAACAAGTTGATGAAACAAGAATATCAACAGTCTCGTTTGAAGTCATCACTTCGCAAGTTTTATGGTCGATACAATGACCTTGTCAGCAAATACCATGAAATACAATCTATCATTAAGTCAAATGCTGACTGACGTTTTTTATAATAATTGTTAGGCCTTTATTTACAGACTGAATTGTCGACGGGTTTTTCCGTTTTTCCCGATCATAACAAAGAGCACACGGCGGGTGTGACCGGTCGGCAGGGAATGCTCACTCCTCCATGTCACCTGATTCCCCCTCTGATGTTTTTGGAGTTCCGTGTTTGCTCTGTCCCCGATTTGTATTGTTTAAATGGATTCTGAGCTTGAAAACTGTCCGTTATCTTTATTTTTCATTCTAAATTGGACTAAAAATAGATCGAGAGCTTCCAAATTGATACAATTAATTTTGACGAGTTATGTTCAACTCACCCGAACAGGTGAACAATAACATTTTTTGAACATAACATTATAGTGATGGGGATGTCCATCCTTAGGTCCGTTGCTCTTGGGGGATGGTTCCCATCTCTTAACCGCTATTCCTCCTATAAAACTGAATAAAATTTAATAAGACTTTCATAAAATCTTCATTACAAAGTGCCATTGTGCACCTCCTATTTTACTTTCCGATTCGACAAATATTTGACCTTTTCCATAACAAAATCTTTACACTGCCATTCTTTCTCTAACACTGGGGTAAACTCCTCGTATATCACTGAATAGAATTTAACGAGACTTTTACAGAATCCTTTTTACACAGTGCCATTGTGCACTCCCTATTTTACATTTCGATCGGACATATATTTGAGGTTTCCCATAGCAAAACAAGGACACTGCAATTCTATTTATAATATAAGGGGCACCCATCACTTATCAGCAACTCCTCCTATACTACTGAATTAAAATGAATGAGAGTTTACATTATCTTTATTATAGTGTCATTGTGCACTTTTATTTTACGTTTCGATATGAGAGATACTTAGGGTTTCCCATAGCAAAACATGGACACTGTCATTCTTTCTACAAGCTTATCTTTTAAAAAGATTGGTGAGCTAGCGCTGTAGCATAATAAAATACAGAAGAAGATATCTAAACCATTTGTTAAATTTGCTGAATCAATTAATTATTAATAGGAAGGCAGATTGGTGCACTCGCGGTTGAGTTGGGGGGGGGGGTCACAATTCAGAATGGTGAATCTAAGAGCGTGCTTCACGTCGGCAATGACATAACTCCTAACTGTGCTTTAAGCATTCTGCATTTTACTGTAATTTCAATTTCGAGGTGAAAAATAAAAGGTCAGTAGAACCAATGAGCACCTTTGGGCCTTTCCGGCAAGCTCGGAAAACATATCCGAGGTTACCGCGGTTTTCCGAGCTTGCCGGAAAGATCCATGAAGGTAGATTAGAAAAGTTATGTATTCATTACAGCTTTAGAATTAACAGTCTTGGTTTTATAAGACACGAGTTACTGTTACTTTTTGTTCATTTACGTGCAGGTTAGACAACAAAACACGAAACTTCAGATCATATGTATTTTCTACGAAAGCCTATTAGGATCAAACTACGGTAAAAAAAAAATTAAAAGGCGTTATAACGCCTTTTGAAAAGGCGTTATAACGCGGGAAAAGGCGTAATAACGCAAATAAAGGCGTAATTACGCCTTTCCAAAAGGCGTTATAACGCGAAAAAAGGCGTTATTACGCCTTTCTAAAAGGCGTTATTACGCCTTTCCAAAAGGCGTTATTACGCCTTTCCAAAAGGCGTTATAACGCCTTTCCAAAAGGCGTTATTACGCCTTTCTAAAAGGCGTTATTACGCCTTTCCAAAAGGTTTTATTACGCCTTTCCAAAAGGCGTTATTACGCCTTTTAAAAAGGCGTTATTACGCCTCTTTTTTTTCAATACATGACTTACTTAGCCCACCCTGGGGGCTGATTATAATTAGATTTCTAGGAAAAAAGATTTGTGATAAATGTGTAAAATATTTTTAGTGTTAAACCAACTTAGTCCTTCTCTGATGCCAGACGCTTCTACCAAGGTGTATGGATTTCAGAAATTTTGTTGAAGGCTAATTGCTCATTATACCTATGCAAATACTTTGTCTGTTTTTTACCAAGAGGAGAGAAAAATATTTCAAATTTGACATGAATTTTTAATACGTGTCTAGCAAAGCCCAAAGCTGGTTCTGCCTATATCCTGGATTTTCAAAAGTAGAGTGTTGACTTCTCTTAATATGCATGCAAAATACAAACAACTGTCCGCGAGATGTGCAGGAATATAGAAAATACTATAATTTATAATATAATTTATAATATTAAAACTATAATCTAAATATTGCATAAATAAAGATGGCTTTGGTTCAATCTTTCATATATTTACTATTTTAAAATAACGCCTTTCCATTTTTGGATACAACTCCTTTTCAAACAAGCCGGTAGTACAAATTTGATTGGGGGGGGGGGGGGTCCCCCACCCCACTTTTTGGGAGAATAGTCTTGCTATAGTTTAAATATAAAAAATCATTAATTGATTGATTGATTGGTTAACATTTTGTTGCAGTATGGTTAAACTCGGGCAAGTCATTGCATTTAAAAAAAAGTTTTACCGAAAAATTAGAAAAAGTTTCCCCTCAAGTTTAGACAGTTTATTTTTTTTCGGGGGGGGGGGGGTTCTTGTTTTTTTATTTGCTTGTCAATTTTATGGGACCCCCCCCCCCCCACTTTAAAAGCACGGGCCTGTCAAAGACATAATAATGGCCCTTCAAAAGGCATAATAACGCCTTTTTGAAAGGCGTATTAATGCCTTTTAAAAAGGCGTAATAACGCCTTTTAAAAGGCGTAATAACGCCTTTTGAAAAGGCGTTATAACGCCTTTTAGAAAGGCGTAATAACGCCTTTTGGAAAGGCGTAATAACCCCTTTTAGAAAGGCGTAATAACGCCTTTTGGAAAGGCGTAATAACGCCTTTTTTCGCGTTATAACGCCTTTTGGAAAGGCGTAATTACGCCTTTATTTGCGTTATTACGCCTTTTTCCGCGTTATAACGCCTTTTCAAAAGGCGTTATTACGCCTTTTCAAAAGGCGTTATAACGCCTTTTAAATTTTTTTTTACCGTAGTTTGATCCTAATAGGCTTTCGTAATTTTCAGATGATAAACACTAAATTGACATGTCTTTCCGACATACTCTGAAAAAGATTGTTGTGGTTGTTGTTGTTGTTTTTTCCGAGCTTGCCGGAATTATCCACTAAAGTTGTAAAACTGTAAGGAAAGCGAGATGTCTAGAATCTTGGCATTATATGGCCAAATTTTTTCTTGTACTTTTATGTGTAGGTTAGACAATAAATTAAAAAAAAAATCAGAATCCGGATCTAGACTGGTACTGACTCTCTCTAACCTACGAAATGTATTTCGCACATATCAGACAGGAAAGGCCAGTGTAAATTCGGATCATTTCTATTTTTGTATGACAAAACGAAATTCTTATCGTACAGTCTATCTACAGTAGTTTTCCCAGAATCCCCGACCGTGAAATCGAGCATGCGTATTTCAGACATATAGACTAACGTAGTTGCTAGCGCTCGAGAGCGCTAGCAATAATATTGGGGGTACCCATCTATCTCTAATCCTTCCTATACAACTGAATGAGACATTTTTATTACAAAGTGCCATATTTTACGTTTCTATCGGACAGATAATTAGAGTTTCCCAAAGCAAAACATGGACTTCGCCATTATACTCACATGGGAGTGTGAGATATCATTTTGCGAGCTCATTGCTCCCCAGTACCTTTAGATTTAATCTACATTGGACCAAAATAGATCAAAAACTCCTAAATTGATACAATTGGTTATAAAAAGTTGTATCACAGTACGCCCGTATACTTGGGAGTAACAAGCATTTCGGGTTTCTCTGAGCAAAAAATGAACGTTGTCATTATACTCATATGGGAGTTTTTTTTTTTTTTTTTTTTTTTTTTTTTTTTTTTTTTTTTTTTTTAGCTCAGCGCTCACATAGCCTCCATTTTTAATCCCATTTCTCTCACTGCATTCGGCTGGGACTTCAACAAATGTAAACAATTAAGAAAGATGGCAATATTTTTCTCACCCTTCAGACTTCTGAAAATTATTCTGCTCAGGTGGCCAAATCATCTTATTGACCTCAAAAACGGCAATTATTACTTAATATTTTTTCATCTGCAATTTTAATAACAGTCCAAGTTGTGATGAATTTCATGTATTTAATCATAACTTAATTACAAACAATATCAACAACCTTCTCTCATTTTTCACTACTTTTACATGCATTTGATGAAATCACACTGTAATCAGACCATTTAATATATCAAATGTCATTGATACATCTAACCATTTTATCCATTGTAGAAATACATAAGATTACAATTACTATACATAGTTTTCACAGCTGTCACAATGTAGTTTAATAGTCACACTCTGTAAACATATTTTTCATCTTTAAAAAATACAATATCCAATAAAGTTTTTGTTTTTCAGGGAACAGTGAAGGATATATCAATGTTGTAAATAAATAACAATCAGGATATGGCTAATTTGTTACTCTAACTCTACAAATACATTTCCTCATTGAAAAGGACATTTGCATGTGAAAAATAAAAATGCCATTCAAAATAAATTTGTGATAAACAAAAGATGCCAACATCTGTATATTAATCGTGCTTAGTAATAGTTAAGAAACCATCACTGAAAAAGCACATCTTAGTTTGGATTTCTAAAATGGGAAATATTTTTATTTCGAAGCAAATTATACACATTTTTTAACCTTGTGATGGGATGTCATACGCATAAAACATGTTTCAACTAATCCATATATAAACTGAAATAAGCATATTTTTTTACATATTAAAAAAGGGACAAAAAATCTATATTGTAAAGAACTCCGTTAGTCTGTAGACACAAAGACTACACCATGGATTTAATCACTCAGAATCAGACAGGATATACTATAGAAGTCTGTCCAGGACTAGCAGGTGGTTTAAATATAAAGAAAACAATATTATACACTGTACTTTATGAAGATCAAGTTGTACAAAATGGGACTTAGATGATAACAAAAATGTCATTACTATCCTTTATAATCATTAATGATGAAAGAAGGAAATACAAACAGATGCATGCTTTCTTGATTAAGAAAATGATCATGGTTTTTAGCACCAAATTCAACTTTAAAATTCATGAAATATTTGTACTGATAAATGAATTTAAAAAAAGTACATGCAAACTTTTCTTCATTATACTCATTCCCTACTCATTTATTAGTAAGTAAACTTTGCATAAATTCACTTACAATTATCCAGCAAATGTAGAGAACAAGTACATACACAAACATATTTTTAACATTTTACATCTAACAATAAAGAGAGAAATGGGCCACAAGGCCCACCCAAGTCAGGTTTATAGCCACTATCCTAGCCTTGACTTCAACAACATGGACATCCACAGAGCTTTCAAAAAGATTAAAAACAGGTGGTATGTTTACAGAAATAGGAGGTACATGTATCTTGTGGAAACAATTTTAAATAAATATGTTATCAAATTTTCTCCATCAAATATTTTGGTGGTACAATCATGATTTCAGCCAGATAAAAGTACCGGATACCAGCAGATTTTGAAAGGCCTGCATATACAATGTACCTGAACCTTACTTGTTCTTTATATTTTAAATGATTTTTTGCCATAATTTCTAATGTATAACTTTAAAACCTCTAATAATGACTAGACAATTTGTAGCCAGCTGTTCTTATGGTCTCACATTAGCCACAGGCACATTCATATGAAAAAAGTTAAATATACACAACATGAAGATGCCAAGGTATAAATCTGATATGACAAACTTGATTTATTTGTTGGTCCAGTTATTAAGATTTTTTCCTACAAATTACCATGTAAATCTTAATTCTTACTGTGGCCCCATTCAAAACATGATTTAATGAAATCTGAATCTATTTTAGACCTATATAGAAAACCTTTCAAATATTTTGTCTTTTCTGACAGAGTATTTCTTTAAAAGATTTCAAATTTCTCATTCTACTTAAATAATATTATATTTTAATAATCCACCATTGAAAAAAAAAGGTATGGTGTTTTACTTTGACAAATTAAATCCCTCATTCTGAGAGATTGCTTTGTAGCAAGTTGGGTTACTAGGCTGAAAAAGTGGTTCTTTAGAAAATGTGGAAAAATATCCAGACATTGGACAAATAATGATCAGAAAAACATAAGCTGAAAATAAGTTTAACAACAAATAATTTAGAGTTTACAATAAATTACTGTTTCTAGTATAACATAAAATTAAGACAATAACTAAATTACGTAAAACTTCACACAAAAACATCAAACAATGAGTATGACTTTTCTACATTCAAAACATTTGGCACAGAGTAAGCATGCAAAGAAAAACATTCTGATATGTTTTAAATGAAAAGCACAAATCACATGAGAAAAATCATCTCTGTATGATATGTAAACAAAAACACCTCGTCATGGCTAATCACTTAAATAGGAATTGTAAAGTATCTGATACTATTTCTTCTTCTTGTATTAAAAAAATTACAAGCACTAAATTATCACATTTGTTTTGTATATATAATTGTTACGTTTGACAAAAAGTTTGTAATTGATAAAATATACATAAAATACCAACGCATTACGTCCTAAAAATTAAACTTCATGAGTCAAGGTATACAGTGTATTTGCAGAAATTAAAAAGAATGTTTAGACGTCTATTAATATTTACTTATGTCCTGATTAACAAATAAACCAATCAAATTTCAAGGCATCAAACTACAGATGTATGGGGGGTGCAGTATCTACCTTTTGCATGAGATTACAGTACAGTGTATATATGCTTTTAAGTGGAATGTTTAACAAAAGTGGATAAGAGAGAAACTAAGAAACACAATCTAATTAAATCAGTTCATCAAATGTTATTGGATGACAAGGGACACTACAACAGTTCTGAATCTGTGGTCAGACTCTCGTTAATAATGCCACCCTCTCGTTCTTCCTCCGCTATCTTTGCCTTCTCTGGCGATGTGTAGGTAGCAATGGCTTTGATTCTTACTTCATCTGGGACATTTTCAACTGTGATCATTCGGTTGTATGCTTTCCATCTACGACAGAGTCTCACATACATTTTGCACTGAACATACATGAAAACCAGACCTCCAGTGAAACCAATGGCCACTACAATAAGTTTGGTCCAGAAGGGCCAATCTAAAGCACCCTGTTCTACTTCTTCTGTTGTTCTGTCTATCAGGACATACAATGACCAGATCACACAGGTTATGGCTATCACATGGAATGTCACAGAACAGGTGATCTTGCGTCTCTCTACAGCAGACATCTGTAGTCTTTCCCACTGAAAAAAAAAGACAAATATTTAGCTTTTTACGATGGACAATATGAATTGATGCATGCATTATGGTATCGCTTTTGTAAGTCTTTAGTCTTCTTGTTAGGGTGATTTAGAAAGGTTTTGTTAAAAACATTTTTTTAGTTAACATTTTTGACCCCAAGTTATCATATGTTTGAACAAACTTCAATCCAAATTACATTTGAAATTAACTTAAACAAGAGGCCCATGGGCCACAACGCTTACCTGAGTAATTTTGACCCTGATGTTCTTCACCAGATTTCCCCATTTGTAATACTAATTGTGGCCCAACCCTACCCCAGGGGGTTCATGATTTGAAAAATTTAGAATCTACACTACCTCAGTAAGCTTCCACATAATTTTTAGCTTTTCTAGCCCAGTGGTTCTTGAGAAGATTTTAAAAGATTTCTTATATTTCAATGTAAAACTTTGATTCTCTTTTGTGGCCCCAACCTAACCCCCACCCCTTCACCCTACCCCAGGGGTCATGCTTTGAACAATTTAGAATCTACTCTACCCCCAGAAACCTTCCACTTAAATTTCAGCTTTTTCTGGCCCAGTGGTTCTTGAGAAGAAGATTTTTTAAAAGATTTTCCCATATATTTCAATGTAAAATTTTGATTCACTATTGTGGCCCCACCCTACCCACAGGGGCCATGATTTGAACAATTTAGAATGTACCATACCTCAGAAAGCTTCCACTTAAGTTTCAGCTTTTTCTGGCCCATTGGAAGATTTTTTAATGACACCACCCTATTTTTGTCTTTCTTAATTATCTCCCTTTGTAAGGGGAGTTGGTCCTTCATTTTAATAATTTAAATGCCTTTTTTACCCAAGGATGCTTTGTACCAACTTTGGTTAAAATTGGCCCAGTGGTTCTTGAGAAGAAGTTTAAAATGTGAAAAATTTACAAATGGATGGGCTACAGACAACGGGTGATTAGAAAAGCTCAATTGAGCTTTCAGCTCAGGTGAGCTAAAAACTGATTAGACAAATTTCGTTTTCCTGTGTGTAAATTACAAAAATATTCTGTATATCTGGTGATAAATTAATACAAAATAAGGACCTTTTCCTTGAGAATGTATTGACCAATTTTCATGTCTATTTGTATTTCAAGTTCTATTAGACCAAAACTCGTATTGAATAAATTCCAGACATAATTCTATTTCTCACAATCATGCCATCTGACAGATACTTCATTGTGTAACCTTATTAATATATTTTTCACTATGGGTTAAATTTTGTAGAAAAATTATCAATCATGAATAGTGAAATTAAAACCATCAGATTAATTTTCCAATCTACAGTGAAATATTAAAATTACTATCCCCCGTCTGATATTCTCTAAAGTTCACTGATTCTAAGTGAAGACATAAGAAAATAATACAATTGTGAATATCATCTCAGAAATTACTGGAAGACAAGCAGATTTCTAAAGGTTATTACAGTTCTGTGAATGAGAAGATATTACCTTTTCTGTGCTATGTTTACTACGCATAAATGTGAAAAATGGTCCTTCTTTTTGATTATCACATCTTAATTTCTAGAATAGTGAAAAAATATTGCTTGAAATAATGACTTTTAACTTTTCATTCCTCATTACAATACTCATTGATTTTTTCAGAAACATTGGGGTTACTGACCATTTCTGATTAACTACAGCAGGACTTACTAAGGATTTCAAGCAATATATTATATCACCCAAAGTACCGGTATATATTTTCACAGAAGACCATTATATAATTTAGTTTTTGTTTTATATATAGCAATAAAATGTGTAATATTTTTTACAAGCTTTATATGTCATATGATCATACATGTACATTCAATATCCCTTTCAGTTAACACTGATAAGGCTTTTTTGGTAACCTATCTGAACTTATTAATTATTTACCACACATTGAGAGTTACTGACAGCTATGTAAAATACATTGCAAAATATATATTTTATTACCCAGTAATGTTGATGTGGCTTGCAATACTGTACAGTTGGTGACTAATTTTCAAAACTGTTGAATTCTTTTTAATATTTATCTCAAATTAAATAAATTAGAATCTATTTTTAAGTGTGAAGGAAAATTTGTATTTAAGGGATTTTTAAACTAGAAATGTAGTTTGAAAATACATTTAAAACAAGAAATATGTCCATAGAACATGAATGCCCCACCGAGTGTATATTAATAATGCAACATGAAAATTTGTAGTAGTGTATGAAGTTTGATGAGAATATCTTGGATAGTTTCTTTAAATTTGAGATCAAAGCTAGGTCAAGGTTATATGTGGGTCAAGTGAGCCTACTGCATACAGAGTTACCTTTTTTTAACTTTTAAATGCTATATTTCTTTCCAAACAATAACATGGTAATTAAGGTCTAAATTATCTCCCACTAGTCATAAGCAATCTTTGTGACAAATATATTTTCATTAAAAATATGATAGGAACTTGGAACTAAAGAGGGTCAGACAGATAAAGAGCCAACTTTTACCCCTCCCCCCCCCCCCCCCACCCCACCCCCATCCCTTTTCAAATAAACTGTTTTGGATGTTACATAATATTCACTTAAATTATAATTTTGAGATAGTACCATTTCAGAACTTTCTCAAATGCAAATCAAATATGTTGGTACCCAAAATAAGATCTTGTCTCAAGGAAAATACCTGTGAAATATGAAAGCCCTAGCAGCAACCATTGAAAAGATATGGAAAAGGTTAAAGTTTTTCAAAAGTAAGTCAAACATCAAGGTCAAATGGTCAAAATTAATGGTGCCCAAGGAAAGGCCTTCTCATAAGAAATACATATGTGAAATATGAAAGCCCTAGCACCAACCACTCAAAGATATGACCAAGTTTAAAGTTTTTTCAAAAGTAGGTCAAACTACTTAGGTCAAAGTCAAAGTTGTTGTCACAAGGATTGCACATGTAAAGTATGAAAGCCTTGCACCAACTGTTCGAAATTCCAAGGTTAAAGTTGGGTAAAATTTTGCAAAACTGGGTCAAACTCCAAGGTCAAGGTCAAAAGGTCAAATATGATGGTACCCAAACAAAGGTCTTGTCACAAGGAATACACATGTGAAATATGTAAGCCATAGCTCCAACCAATCAAAAGTTTTGGGCAAGGTTAAAGTTTTTGCGGAGAGACAGACAGACAAATGGACAGGGCAAAAACTATATTTAGAAGATTTTTTTATGCCCCTGTAATCTTCGATTACAGGGGCATAAAAAATCTAAATCTAAATCAGTTTCATCACTTGAAAGGAAACATAATCAGGTAGTTCACTATGCAGAACGAGGTTTGCTCACCTTTCTGAATGGTTTGACCTTTGAAGTCATCTTGTACTCATATTTGCAGAGTTCGCAGCACTCCTTATCAGAGCTTTTGATCCACTTCTGTAGACATTCCTGGTGAACAAACTTCATGCTGCCATCACAGAGGCAGGGTGCAATGAGTGGGGAGTCTTCATCTATCTCACACACCTCACACTGACAAATGCGGCAACAGTCCTGCCCCGACGACAGCATGGAAAGGCTTGTCTCACATCGATCTGAGATTTTGGGAGTGGGAGAATTCAGATGGTGGGTTTCCTACAAAAAAAAAGAAACAATCTATTTTCTTTCTAAAATATCTTTAAGATATGTGGTTGTTCTACCATGAAAAATTATACAAATTTCTCACAATTATATACATTATACTTTGAGATATGATTAGTTAACTTATAACAAATAAACCACATTAAAATCATCACTGATCAATCATACCATGTGAATTCTTACTAATAACTCTTCCTGTAAGAATTAGTTCACCACATTCTTAAAACAAGTACCAGTGTGTCACAGGATATTTTTATTTAAATCTTAGAAGATTATCACCAATTAAAAACAAACCCTCTAAGCAAGTCAGTACCTGCAGTGTGCTAAACAGAGCTTTAGCAAAACAAATCTCACATCCTTCAGTCACTTTTACACTTTTTTAAAGTCCAGCTCTCAAGCAAAAATACTAGAATCAAATACGAAGTATTTTTAAATACAAAAATTATAATGAGATCTAATACTTTTAACTTATATATGATGACGATAACACATCTCTCTAATTATAGTAGATTTATTTTTTATGGAAAAAGAACTTAAAAACTAAGATAATTTTTTGGCTAATTGATATTTCCTTACATTATGAGAATATGTCAATCTGTCCTCAAAATCAACGGGTACAGAAGAAAAAGAAATCACATAACAAATTGCCATCACTACTTCTTAATATCTCTTATTTCTGGCAAAGTGTGATCCATTGTAAAGAAAATAGGGGTTAAATGTTCCATAATAATTTCAAGAGCTGTAAGTAAGTTTTATACTCTCATAAATAAAGGACTTCAAAGAAGGAACTTGTGTACAAAACAGATTTCAATGAGGGCTTAAATGTCTTAATTTATGACAACTTAATCAGAAATAGATAATAAGCAGATAATGGAGAAACAATACATGTAAATCTTATTTCTTAAGAAATTTACAAATGCTACGTTTCTTCATGCATGTACTTTGTAAATACAACTGAAAAACATTTTTTGCTGAAAAAGAGGATATATATATAATTTAATTCTGGTTGTAATTAGCCATTTGATTGGCTGAAAAAAATTTAGTAATACTGTATAGTTAATCTCAACTGAGATTCAGCTTAGCTGGATATTTGGACTGAGTCAGATGCTTTCACCGAGTCATGAAATTATAGAGCTTAGCATGTCCATGATATTGAAATCAAAATCACCAGAATCGCAAATTTATTTGAGACAGACATACAGTATGCTTAAGCATATTGAATATTCATTAAGTTTGTAGACACAGTGTTATGGTGTGACCATATTAATAACTCCCACATAAAACAATGACCAAGTAAGACTAGAACATGTACCTACATGTAACATTGTCAAAATCAGCAATAGTCAGATCAATCAAAATCACAGTCCAAAAATAACATCAACCAACCATGACTGACACCAAAAAAAAAACAACAAACAAAACAAAAAAAAAAAAACAACAACAAAAAAAACAAACAAAAAAAACTGTCCATGTATACACAAATTCATTTGATAGTCCGAAGTATCTTAGAGGGTTTAATATCAGATTTTTTATATACATTTTCTGCAAAAATCACAATCCTTGATATTTCACCCAATTTTCATTTGTAAATTATTGAATGACTAATTGATTGTTTGTAAACTTTTGAACATCCTTAAGCAATAACATTTCATGCACATTAAGACATCACCAATTTCAGGCGATATGTCAATCCTATCAACTTTTGCCCTAGGCTCCAGCCCAGGTTCATTATCATGCCAAGAGTAGAGCTGGACCTGCAATTTTAAGATTCTACTTGAAACATCCTGACTTTCATTTTCTACTGCTGAGCACAAGCAGTTACTATCTGTTTTAATGTTTCAGGAATGAAGCTCACAAATTTGATCTACAGAGGGGGCCATATTCAAATTTCTATCACATAACACCACATAAATCTGTGATGAACTTAACTACAGAACTTAACTCTGTGATGAACTTAACTATACAGACTTTAACTCTGTAATGAATTTAACTACAGAACTAAACTCAGATGAACTTGAGCTTAACTCCGTGATGAACTTAAATACAAAAGTTAACTCTGTGATGAACTTAAATACATATATAACTCTGTGATGAACTTAACTATACAGATCTTCGCTCTGTGATGTCTAATCAAGTCATTGGTAAAAATTCAAAGTTGATTTCATTACTCACTCTCTGGTGCTAAAGGAATGCAGCAAAATTACAAACCGCTTGGTTTCTGAAAACCATATTTACTTTGAAATATAAAATGCAAAAATATTTTTCTGTTTCAACTTACAAGACAATTTTAAAAATATCAGAAAGCTTATAACATTTTCACAGTTCCAATAATTTATTTAAGAAATTCTTTTTTTTTTTCTTTTTTTTTTAACATTGCACAAAGTACAACTTGGTACAAACTCAGATGATTTAAAATGTTCTTGTCAACAAAACTTTAAAAAAAAGTAAGATGTTCATCAAAAAGAGTAAAGCTGAAATTCCTACCTTTGGGTTAATTAACTACCCTGTCAATTTAAGTTTCTAGCCAAACATTAAAGGTTTGTGCTATAACTTGGCCACAGCTGACAAGTAAAATGAATGCTTTGTTGATCACAGCAATTAATGTCATATTCTGTGTTGGTTTTTCATTTACATAGAAACACAGAAGTGTGAAAAATGATATGGAATATTTTCTCTGTGATAAATTTTAGCACCTTTACCATAAATTAGACATTTTGGCTTGTAAAGATTTATTGCAATATCCAACAATCAAGCAGTGCACTGTAATCCAAAGCTTTCTCTGATTAATTGCGAGGACAAAGCATGGATCGGTATACATATATCGGGACTTATTTTGGTTGTAAATGATGCATTTATCAACTCTCTAAAATATTACGAAATTGTAGACTTTCGACGATGTTTATATTTTTTTCCTTTTTTGTCATCACCCTTATAAATCTATGCAATTTTCTTTTATCACTTTATAAGACATTATTGAGAAACTCTGAATGAAAAATGAAACTTGATGCAGCAAAAAAAAAGGGGGGAGGATAGACTACAGGTTGAAATTTTAAAATAAGCACACATAAAGGAATGACAAACTTGATATTGTTGAAGTATGACTCCCCAATCTCCCCCATTTATAGTATATGTATAGAAAAACCAGAAGTCTCTGATGAAACTGTAACTGTACTGGTTTGAACTTACATTGGTGTAAGAAAAAAGTTGCTTTTTTACATATAATTTTTTTTTCTTTTCTTTTTTTTTTTTTAAATCATGTTTTTTAGGCTTGGGCCTTTAGGTTTTGCCATGAAAAAGAAACGCATCTAAACTACAAGCCAAAATTGTGTGGCACTAATCCAAAGGTTGCTCTGACATGACGACCCAGAATGGGAAGTTTTTAGATGTTTAAGAAGTGGTAGCAGATTCAGAACATCTAATTTTAATTAGATTGCTTTAAAGTTGATAAATTAGGAAAAGGGAGATCACTTCAAAAAATACGCTTTCAAATTAAGTTTTCTATGTAAACTTTATTAATCCAACATAAATTAGCTGAAACATCCTGAAAAATAAATATGTTTATATCCTTTTGACGACTTGAGATTGTTTAGAATGTTGATCCGAAAGGGGGCATTTGAGAAATAAAATCCTGAAATTTTTTTAAAAACTCTGTATTGATAAATTATCCACATCAAGAAAATGTAAGTATAATGTGAATGAAGATCAGGATCGATCCTATAAGTGCTTAAAGGTCACGGCTCTGAATTGAGTGAGTGGTCAGGCAAAGGAAAAGTATAGTATGCGCAAGAGACCTTTTTTTGCTTTTAGAGTGCTATTTTTCTCTCCTTTTCTCTTTCCTTTTTCTTTGTCACCTTCTACTAACTGTTTTCCCTTTCTTATGAAGCCTAGATTGTGTATCTGCCCATTAAGAGGAACCTATATCGGCCAAAGTTTGAAGGGTATGGAAATCTGGAAAAATACTTTCATGAAATTCCTAATTCCTGTTGTGTATCTGAGGACCTAGCTATAAAATTAGACAGAATAAAGACAGAGCTTTTTAATTTACTGGTAGAATACAACTTCTTCTTACAATCCATTCCAAATATGCACAGCACAGGGGGTAAGAATCTCAATTTTTGGCCGATACACATTTTTACGCTATGGCTGCATGTGGAAAGGATATATAATACTTTGGCCATTTAATTGTAACAAAGAAGCACTAATAACAATGTGGACAACAAAAATATATGTAATGAATGTTACCTGGGTATGGTGAAATAGAGCCATTTTAATTTTCCAAAACCGAGAGTGACACACACTGAAATTTTTAAGAACTTTCATAATACTTTATACTTCATAATTCAATTGTTTTCATCTCAGTTAATCCCCTGCATATTGTGATATAGCTCTCAGAATGTGCTAAAACCATCCCTTAAGAGCCTGATACAACATCTGATTACAAATGTCCACAATTCTCTGAACAGGTAGATTTTTGTCATCTGCAGGTGTGAACAACATGTCTGCAGCATTATCAGGTAAGTCCAACATCAGTCTTACTTTCAGGTGTACTCAGAAAGCCAATGAGATTTCTGCTTTATAAACAGTGTAAAAATCAAAGGGCTCAACACCACTAGTCAGAAAGTGAACACAAAGGTTTATAGCACTAAGCAGGGATAACAATCAAATACAGAATTGCCAATCAGTTTAACTGCACGATGTTCCAACAGATTAATTGTTAATCATATCAAAATTGTCAACAGATTTTTTTTCAAGTATGCACTGTTCACATTTATAACAAAACTAAAAAAAAGACGTTTGTAATACTCCGTTTATATTTGATCAGAATATACAATAAAAAAAAAAATTATGAAACATGTCTGAGATGCTCCATACATTAACAATTTTTCAAAGCAGATGATAAGGCCATAATAAAAAAATTCCTAAATTCTCATCCCTGCCCACCCCGATTTTTTACCCCCACCTCGATTTTTTTTATTTATGTTTTCCTTCGTCTT